AGGTCAGTTGTCCTAAGCAACTGAGAATTAGACTCTTGGGATTTCAGTGGAAGACAAGAGTGATACTTTTGGGGTTTGTAAAACCTCATGAACTAGGACCACTGCTGCAGAATGCTGTATAAGTGGGAGTGGGGCTGCCACCACCAGTTTCAGAGAGTGGGCTCAGAGGGTCAACGTGAGGGATTTAGGTCTGCTCCGGGGGCAAGCTACAACCCTGTGCTCTTATCTCGACAGTGAGTGTGGGCACTGTAGCTTCCCACTGGTGAGTCTGAACCCACCCACAAGGGCTCCTGAGCTTTCATTAGTGGCCAGTAGGATTAAGCCATGGACCCAGATGGCCAACAAATCAATCACTTTACTAAGTGTGAATAGCCTTTGACTCTGAGGGGTCCAAATTAAGTATTACTACTTCATTCTTATTCTTTCTCCTACTTCTTGCTAGTCCATAGCCTCACTTCCCCAAGACCCCAAGAATACAGAATTTTGAGGCAGATAATCTAAAGTTTTGACATTTTTTTTTAGTTTAATAGCAATCTGGGCTACAGGTAATATGCCAGGGACTGGAGTCCAAAAGATGTGAATAAGCCAAGGCTCAGCCCTGTGGCCTCACAGATGGAGGAGTTGGGGGTGAGGCAGAGGGAGAAATGAGACAGAAATACCTGCTGTGGGTGGCCTTTGGTTCTTCCACAGCACCCTGTCCTAGCTCCTACTCTGACACCACTCTGTGCAGCAATTTCTGTGTATTTTTCCATCTTCCTGGAGAACAAACTCTGGAGACAGACACCATCGCTTACTAGTGGTGAGAGTGTGGGAAAGTCATCTGCCTTCTTTGTCTGTCTCTCAGTTTCTTCATCAGTGTCCTTGGTTGCTGTGAGAATTAAATGGGATAATACCTGTAAAGCTGTCTATCTGTGAGTGGACCTCACAGATCTAGGACTGCTAACTCTTTCTGTTAACAGTGGCTGGGCCTGTTGCTTAGGTCCCCTCAAACCCTGAGTATCAATCACGGTATCTGGCACTTGTCAGGGCTCAGGACCCTTTGTTGATGGGATGGATGAGGGACCCGGCACAGCCACCTCAGCACAGACCAGGATGTGATGAGGGCCACCCAAGGACAGCATGCTGTGTGCTCTGGGAGACCGGGTCGCAGCAGGAATTTCTGACAGTGGGCCTGGGAGGGACTTATGGTGGCGATCACGTAGCAGGAAGACCTTGAAGCATGCACTCACCTTCAGTGGGGGCAGAAGGATGTGGAGAGGGCCAGCTACACCAAGAGGCAGCATCGCAGAGTGGCCAGGAGCTCAGAGTCTGTGACCAGGCTGCCTGGGTTTGGGTCCTGCCTTCTGCCCCTGGGGCAAGCTTCGTCCTTCTGTGTGCCTCAGACACAATCTCTGTCTTCCATGGCTGCTGAGAAATGACATGACATTCTTTATAAGCTGTTTAAAAACAGTGCCTATGAATGAACAGCCCAGAGGTAAGGAAGTCCAGGCAGCGACACAAAGCCCAGGCCGGGAGAAAACGGCGGCAGGGGTCCGAGCGCCACCGAGGGGGCAGGGACGGACTCAAAATGGAGGCGGAGAGCGGCGCACACAGTGCGCCTGCGTGAAAGGGGCTTTTGCGGGAAACGCCAAACAGCGACCTCCTGCTCAAGATAAGAGGAGAAAGGGAAAAAACAAGAAAGCGGTGGCATTGGCTTGAGTCACATGCCAACCCAACCTAAAGACACAGAGCCTTCATTGCAAACATACCTTTTGATGTGAGATGTCAGTCACCCAAAGACCTGGTCAGAGAAGCGGTTGGTGCGGTAACGTACGTGGAGCTCTTAATGGCCGCTGAAGGAACGTCAGGGGGACAGGCGGTTGTTGGATTCAAGATGGAAGAGAGCATGAAAGAAGCTGTCAAAATGCTGAAGAAGCCTAGTCTGAGTGGAAGACGACTGAAAATCAAAGAAGATCCTGAGGATGAATATGCCAGGAGAGCAGTGCAGAAGGCTGGAGGGCGTGGAAGCACAGTGTGTGCAGCAAATGTGGGTTATGAAGTTGGCTGGTAAATGTGAAGAAAGTTTTTAGTATGGCTCGTGTGGTGGTTCTGGCAGACATTCTAAGGATAAAGGTGGAGAAAGTCATGGAATACACATTGTTACTTGTGAACAGTCCACTGAAACTGTGCAAGCAAAATGTATTTTTAATGACCAAGTGCTATTTTGATAGACCAATGCACATGAAATGGATAAGAGGGCCTTACCAAAGGGAGACTTTTTCCTTCCTACCGTGCACAGCAACTTCCCACGGACTTGGTAGTTAGGATGAGGAAGGTGGCCTGTTGATGCCAATCACCTGAATCAAGGCATTGACATGGGAAGCACAGGGCCTGCAGGAATGGGGATGGAAAGCATAGAATTTTGAATAAATAAAAGAGGAGGCATGGAGGGACCCTTGGTGGTGGTATGGAAAACCTGGTTCACTTTGTATCTGGGATGAACATGGGCGGCATAAACGGAATCCTAAGTCATGCACTGAAGACAGGAGAGATCATTGCAAAGGAAGGAGGAGATTGGGCCTGGCATTAATTGCATTGGGGTGCCAGTATGGAGGGCATGGGCACAGGCCTGGGGTATGGCATGGATCACATGGGCTCTGAGATGCAGTGCATGGACCTAGACATGGACCACATGGTCTCTGGCATTGAGCACATGGCTCCTCCATCAACCTTGAGGGCCACCCAGACCATGGGTACATGTGCTTGATCATGAAGCACATGAGTCCTGTGTTGGATCACATGGCCACCAGCTTGGAGCAGGTGGATACCGACAACCTGGGAGTGCATGGGCCTGGAACCCATGAAAGCCAACAACCTTCAATCCATGGGCCTGGAACACATGGGAGCCAATCCCAATGACCTGGAGTGCATGGACCTGTAGCATGTGAGTGCAAATAGCTTGGAGTGCAGGGTTCCAACCATAGGTCTGGTCCTGAATGCTGGCATTGACTGCATGGGCCTGGCCATTGTTAGTGCTGGTATTGGCAGCTTTGACCATGCCATCGAGATGGAGCAATGCAACTTTGGAGAAAGATTCACAGGTTCCTTTGGTGGAGCAGAGGGCTATTCTCCTGGGGTGGCCAGGAAGGCCTGCCAAATGTTTGTGAGAAGTCTCCCATTTGATTGTGCATGGAAGATGCTAAAAGACAAATTGAATGAACGTGGCCATGTGTTATATGCTGACATCAAGATGGAGAATGGGAAGTCCAAGGGATGCCATGTGGTTAAGTTTGAGTCACCAGGGGTGGCTGAACCAGCCTGGTGGATGATGAATGGGATGAAGCTGAGTGGCTGAGTGACTGATGTTCAATGTGATAGAAATGCCTAAGTGGTTGCCCTGTTAAAATCAATACCAGACCTCTGACTTGCTATGTTTTTTGGCAACCATTTTAATTTGTTGGTGGATGTATGAAGATATTTCTAAAATTCAGTTGTTTGCTGGCGTAATTTGAATTACTTTGTCCATGACTGGAGTTTCACTCTTTGCATTGAGATTGCAACGTGTGCAATGTTTTTGGGAGTTGTGGCATCTTGTTCTACCAGGCTCAGGAAAGTGGCATTAAATGCAGGAAAAGGCCAGGTAAAAGAGAAAGCACAGTATAAGCTTGGCAATAAATGGCAACTGATTGTCCATCTTCATGTCCAAGATACAACCAGGCAGCCATTCTCCTAGTGTGGTCCCTGGACCAGCAGCACCAGATTCAGCTGGGACCTGGTGAGAAATACAGGTCTCCAGACTTATTAATTCTGAAGCACTTGTTGACATTGAATATGATTTTGATAAGAAATATGAGTTCCTGGAAAAAAAAGGTAGACAGCAATTAATATGTTAAGTGGGAGATGCAGCTAGGAAGGTGTCTGGAAAGAGTTCCAAGCAATGTGTGAATGTCTCCTTAAGGAATTTGGAACTGGCCCATGAGCAACCCATCAAATCCATTCCCATGTGGATGAAGGTCAGTGGTGGATGGCTCCTTGAAACAGGGCATGCCCTTCCTTTTTGCCACAGTGCCTAGCCCTCCCTGTCCCAACACTCCCTACTGCAGTGCTTCTGAATTAATAAGTCTGGAGATCTGTATTTCTCACCAGGTCCCAGCTGAATCTTGTGCTTAATTGTACTTTGGACATCAAAATGGAGAGTCAGTTGCCATTTATCATCAAATTTGTGCTGTGCTTTGTCTTACACCTGGCATGTTTTCTGCATTTAATGCTCCCTTCCTGGGCCTGGTAGAATTTGGATTTGCATTTTGTGGTATAGTCAGTATTGGAAGGTTTGTTGTAAAACAAAGAAACAAGCAAAATATAACCAAAGACACTGAAATAGGGGGCAGACTGACAGTGACCAGAGGGGAAAGGAGAGGGAATTTCACGGGGCAATGGGTAGGGTTTATAGGAACAAATTTGGAGGACACATGGACAAAAACTAGGAGTGGGGGGTAAGGGGGGGAAGAGGGGAGGGTTGGGTGGGTGGGCTGGAATGGGAGTAAGTGGGAGAAAACTGTACTTGAACAATGATTAAAATAAAATTTAAAAAAAAAGAGAAGGTTTGTTGTCATGGTCCCAAGAGACAGGCTGACCAGCAAGAAATCGATTTGGGAGTGTCTGAGTACTTAGAGCAGGCCTATGGTAGCTGAAGCTGTGGGTAATGTGAGCTCATCCCCAGAGGGACAGTGCAGGGAGAGATGGGTGTGGGTGAAGAGAAGACTATGACAGGGACATTGGGACACTGAGTCTTAAAGGAGGAGTGAAAGGGTAGTAACTGTTTAAGAAAGAGGCTGGAAGGAGCAAGGTGGGAGGGGAGGGGAGAGACCTGATGATGGAATGTTCCAGGCCTTACTGTTACAGAGAAAACTGAGCAAACATCTGAAGAATAAAGCTTAATCAGGTGAATAGTGAGTTCTGTGGTGAGTTTCCCAGTCTGAAGGAGGACAGAAAGCAGGTGTCCTGTTACCCTGGTCCACAGCATGAGCATGCAGGGTGACCTGCTGTTGCTCCAGGTGCAGCTTGTTGTGACTGTTGTCTCTGAGGTTCTGGTGACATGGTGGTAGCTTGAGCTGAACATGGTGTCATCTCGCCCACTTCTGTTTTGCTCTCTTGCCTTGCCTTGCCTTTCTTTCTTTTTCTTTTTTTTTCAAATAATATAAGATGTTAAGTAGAAATGTGCCAGTCTTCTCCTCATGGCTATAGTGGAGGTGCTTGTGGCTGAGGGGCTTTGCTTTTTGAGTGTGCTTTGGGAAAGACTGTCTGAGAAGGAAGCACGGGAGCCAAAATGGAAAAGGTGGGCCAGTGGCATCGTGAGGGCAGTCTCCCAGACAAGGATTGGCCCAAGAAGGCACGCTATAAATGCAGGGGAGGGAGTGGATGAATGACTTTGAGGGATAAGGAGTGATGATCTGATCAAATCAAATTTTTAGAAGAAATGATTTGAAAAATCATGTTGGGTGTTTCAGAGTTCACAAGTGTTAGAAGCAGATGTACCTCCAACTTTCTTCCATTCTGGTCTTGCTACCTGGGACAAACCACTTAGCTCTCCAGAAATCAATTGCTTTGTCTGTAAAATGGGAGTAGCAAAAGCTGTTTGTAGGTTTGTATTTCAAGCTGGTATGTGGCACAAAGGCTGGTAGTGGCTGCAGTGCAGCTGCTGTTAGCACTGAGTTCATTCCCTTTGCCTGTCCTCAGTTCCCACAGCACCCTGGGGGTCTGCATGGCAGGGCTCTAACCCCCTTTCCTAAAAAAAGACAGAGGCTCAGGCAGGTGGGGAATTTTCCTGGAGGACCTGCCCATCTTTGCAAACTCACCACCACCATTTCTTCAAGGCCTTTCTCCTTCCTCAGTGACCTTTCTCTTGTCTTTCTATTGCACTTAAAATTCTGAATCCTATGATCTAGAAAGAACTTAAGTATAATCATATGTACTTCTCCTTACTCCAGATTGTAAGTTCCACAAGGGAAGAAATTATGTTTTTTTCCTTAAAAATTATAAAAGGAACAGATTATGGTGCATAGAACTTTAAATAGTATGGGGACATAGAAAGTGAAAAACAAAGGTCCTCTAACTTCCATTCTCATGCCCAGAGATAATGATAGGTCTATTTTTCTTGAAGGTATCTATGCTTATGAAATATCATATATCATAAATTCATATATTTTATAGAATTTTATTATGTAATAATGGCAAATATGAAACATTCACATATACATATATATAATCATCATTGTGTGTGCAAGGCCTGTCTATGTATCTGTTATCTGTGTAAGTATTTACTGATAACCTATCTATGGACCACCCTTCTGTTCATTTTTTTATCCTCATTTCATATTTGTATTTACCTCTTCCCACTATTATCATAGCTATACCTATTCAAATGCATCTCTATAAAATCATATATAGATATATGAGACATACATATCTATTTCGTAAGTTATTAAATATAATGATATTCTTGTATCATTTAAAGAGAATTGCATACATGTATATGCACGTGCACACACATATGTACATAATCCCATTATTCCCTATCAGTACATGTGAAGCTGCATTATTCTCATCAGGAGATGCATTGTGTTTCATTGTATAGAGATACAGCTGTGTCCTCTATCGCGCTTTCTAGTTTGCTTTCCTATACTACTTCTTATACTTTGTTATTACAAACAACACTGCAGTGCCAACTTTTCCACAAGCACCTTTACACACTTGTATGTGTTTTTCTGTAAGAAAATGTTGAGTTAAAAATCTGTGCTGCTCTTACCAAATTACTTTTCAAAGAGAGAGAACAATCTGTATGTCTACCTAGAAAGTGGAGATTAGGATCTGAGTCTTTGACAAAAAACTGGAGCTCTTTTCAGGAAAACATTAGGTGTGAGAAAAAACAGCCATTGTGGATTGAGTTCAGTCTGAGTGCAGAGACATGGTCACTGTCTTAAGTCCCCCTCCCTCCTTCCCTGGGCAGTGGTGGACACCATCTCACTTACATCCCCCTAGACTAAACATAGTCATGTGATCACACCTTACAGCCAGGCAAACTGGGAAATGTAGCCTGGCCCTGTCCACTGTGATCTAGTGATTAGAGAAGAAGTGGGGCGGGAGTTGGGGAGTGTGGTACCTCAGGTAGCTCTGCCACTCATAGCAAGTTGTAGGACTTTATCCTGAGGTCCCTGGAAGGTTGCAGAGGACCAACTTATACAACTGACAGCTTCCCTCCCCCCACAAAAAAAAAGAACTCTGGCAGTGGTATTGGGCATGGGAGATTCACTGAGGAGCTAGTAATGCCAGGCACTAGACTATGTGCTTCACCTGCCTCATTCCTAACCACAAACATACAAAGTGACCCCAGAAGTCCAAATAGACCTAGAAGCCTTGAAGATGTGAAGGGACTTGCCCAAGGCTGAGGATCTGACTCCACAGCAGAGTGACTATAAAATCCATACCCTTGCTTTCCACGGCTCTGGCCATGTCAGTGCGTAGCATGCACACTGCAGCCATTGTTCAGATCCTTCACCTCACCCCACTCAGGCTCTTGGTGGCCAGGTGTGTGGTACATGCAGCCCATGCACCTTTCCTAACTTGGACTCTCTTCTTGTTTTTCAGGTCCTACCTCAGCTCCTTTGCTGGCTACAGTGCCCTTGGTGGCACCCTCCCAAGGGGGTCATCCCAGGGCTTCCCTGACCATGCAGTTTCTTGCTACCATTGTTCAGGGGCCCCATCATTCCATCTTCGGGGCCTACACAATCCCTCCCTTCAGGTTCCAGCCTCGCAATGGGAGCATGGACTGGAGGCACATGAGTGTCCTGGATGTGGACCGTGTGATACGAGAGCTGGATGTGGCCACCCTGCAGGAGAACCTCACTGACATCACCTTCTGCACCTTGGATGGGGAGGAATGTAGCCACTGTTTGCAGCCTTTGGACCAGGGGCTGCTTAATGTGCTGCGCCTAGCTCAGCTCTCCATTGAGTACCTGATGCACTGCCAGGACTTCCTGATGACCAGAGTTACCCTGCTGGAGCTGCACCTGCAAGCCAGCCTGAGGCAGCAGTCACAGAGTCAGCAGCAGCTGGACAGCCAGGCTGAAGAGCTCAGGGGTTTGCGAGAGGAGAGGCACCGGCAACGCCAGATGATCAAAGACTTGCAGCAGCTTCTCCGATGGTCAGGTGGCCAGAGCTACTATATGGTGAGGAATATCAACAGGGCAAGGAGGGTGGGAGGCCTGGGTGCCCAGGCACTGGGTCACCTGGGCAACACCATCCCCTGGGCTGTGAAGCTGCTATGGGCCATAGTCCTTGGTTAGGAGCAGATTTTAGAGATGCTGCTCAGGGCCAGAGGGCCTGAACATCTGGTTAGGTTACATCTACTGTGTGATTGTGTAGAGCATTCAGGTGTGTCAGATGTGTGTATGAAGGATGTATGTGCATAGAGTGTGCTTCTGGAGAGGTTGTGTCTAAAGCATGTTTGAATATGTGAAGGGTGTGTGTGTGCTCTCATGGAAGGTGTAAATATATCTGATGTGTGTATGTGGATATTTGTAGGGTACCTTTCTGTATGGTATGTGTGTGAAGTGCATGGTGTGTGATATGTGCTTGTGAGTATGTAGAAGTGTCCATATAAAGATATATGGACTTCCAGCAAGATGGAAGCATAGGCGGATGCACTGTACCTCCACGCACAGCCAAGATTAGAACAACAACAATTTAGAGTTAGAATAACACCCAGAACTGATAGAGAATTTATCTGAATGGAAGTGGGACAGCCAAGAAGTTGAAGTAGACCTGTTCATCCAGACCGGTAGGAGGAGCTGAGAGGAGGAGCGGGCGCGGGCTGCAGTGCGAAGAGAGTGGGGAGAACTGGGCGCCTAAGGCAACCAAGAGTGCATAAGCCTTCCGGGACGAAGCGGTGGACCCTGAGTATGCAAGCAGTGGCTGGCGGACCCAGTGAGGCAGCATTGTGGACCAGGGCAGAACGCACAACCCAGGATCCCAGATAAGGGACTGAGATCCCAGGAGAACGGAGCTACCACCATTTCCTCCCGCCCCCTCCCCCAAATACAATGTCACAGTCACAATCTAGTGCCTGGAGTGCCCAGCCCAGGTGAACACCTAAGGCTCTGCCCCTCACCATAACAAGAGCACCAGACCAGGGAAAAAAAAAAAAAGGAGAGAGAGAGGGAGACATGTCTCCAACAGAAGAACAGATCAGTCCCCCAGGACTCATCCTTTCGAGCGACCAAGAACTAGCCAATCGGTCAGACGTACAGTTCAAAACACTGGTGATCAGGAAGCTCATGGAATTGGTTGATTTTGGGTGCAAATTACATGAAAAAATGCAGGTTACCATAAAAGAGATGAAGGAAGATGCACAGAGAACCAATAGTGAAGGGAAGGAAACTGGGACTCAAAACAATAGAGTGGACCAGAAGGAAGAAAAAAACAACCAAGCAGGAAAGAATGAAGAAATAAGAATTCAGAAAAATGAGGAGAAGCTTAGGAACCTCTAGGACATCTCTAAACATTCCAACATCTGAATTATATGGGTACCAGAAGGGGAAGAGGAAAAGCAACAGATAGAGCACATATTTGAACAAATAATAAAGGAGAACTTCCCCACGCTGGCAAAGGAAATAGACTTCCAAGAAATCCAGGAAGCTCAGAGAGCCCCAAAGAAGTTGGACCCAAAAAGAAACACACCAAGGCACATCATAATTACATTACCCAAGGTAAAAATGAAGGAGAGAATCCTAGAAGCAGCAAGAGATAAGGGGACAGTAACCTACATAGGAGCTCCCATCAGACTGTCAGCTGATTTCTCAAAGGAGACCTTACAGGCAAGAAGGGGCTGGAAAGAAATATTCCAAGTCATGAAAGGCCAGGACCTACATCCCAGATTGCTCTATCCAGCAAACCTCTCATTTAGAATGGAAGGGCAGATAAAGTGCTTCTCAGATAAGGTCAAGTTAAAGGAGTTCATCATCACCAAGCCCTTATTTTGTGAAATGTTAAAGGAATTTATCTAAGAAAAGAAGATAAAGAAAAAACATGTATAGTAAAAGGGCAGCAAACTCACAATTATTAACAACCACACCTAAAGCAAAACCAAAAGAAACTAAGCAAACAACTAGAACAGGAACAGAACCACAGAAATGGAGATCACATGGAGGGTTAGCAACAGGGGAGTGAGAGGAGGAGAGAGGGGGAAAAGGTACAGAGAATAAGTAGCATAGAATGTAGGTTGAAAATAGATAGGGGTAGAGTAAGAATAGTATGGGAAATGTAGAAGCTAAAGAAATTACAAGTATGACACATGGACATGACTAAAGGGGGGGATATGGGTGGGAGAGAGTATTCAGGGTGGAGGGGAGTGAAGGGGAGAAAATGGGACAACTGTAATAGCAAAATCAATAAAATATATTTAAAAAGATATATTTGTGGTTGTGTGAATGGGTCAGGGTATAAGTGTGTCTAAGGGTGTGTGTATGTGTGGTTAGTGTGAGTTTACATGTATGTGTGTGTACATGAGAGCTTTGTGTGTGCATGTAGAGAGTGCTGTGTAAGGGTGTATGTATGGTGTGGGGGGAGCGTGTTGCAGAGAGATGAGTGTGTGTCAAGGGACTGGTAGAGTGAGGCCTGTTCTGGAAAAGGATCTCCATTATTTAACCAAGTGACAGTTCATGAGCCAGAGTGGAATTTCAGCTTTTGCCTATATTTTCTTAGAAAGTGTGGTGTGGGGTCATTGGCCCTGTAATAAACTGTCATGTTGACCAGGCCTGGAGCCAGATACTGAGGATATAGTCCTAAGTTGTGCTGGTTCAGATTTTCAAGGAATTCATAGTTGGAGGGCAGGTGGAGCAGAAGGAATCATTTCAACAGAGTGGTAACTGGTATAATTGATGTATTGTTAATTATGACATAAAGGTCAGAACCCTTTCAGTAGTGAGTGACAAAGAACAATCTAATCTTGGTTAGGCCAAGACGGAACTTGTTGGTTGATTTAACTGAAAAATCCAGGGTTATGGTGTCACAAAGGAGTGGCTTTGTCCCAGAAAATGATGGCACTAGAATCTCGTTTGTTTCTCTGAAGCTCTTGGCAATTCTTCCTCAGGGTAGATTCTTCCTTCCACTGTGAGAAAGATCCTGACCCTGTGGTAGCAAGTCGGGCCACAGTAACGCCAACTTCTCATTTTTCAGGATTTAAGGCTGCTGTGCCAGACAGCCAAAGTTGTTCCCAGCACCCCAGCTAAGTAGTTCACTGTCTCAGTGCCTCAACCAGTCACTGAACCCTGAGAATGCAGGGTTCTGATTGGCTTTGGTCTCAGTCACCTGTTTCATGGAGCTGGGGTGGACTGAAGCTCATGGCTTGAGAGTAAGGGAAGGGTAACTCCTCTGAAGAAAGCTGGGTGCTCTTATCAGAGGAAGAGGGTATGGCTAGTGTACTCTCAGAAATGAACAGATGTCCTTTGTGTCCTTTGTAGATGGAGAAAATGTTAAGAGAGATGGCTGAGGAGCTGTGGGAGCACAGAGGTGGGAGAGGAAGAGTCTTCCTGAGGTGGTGTTTAAACAAACCTTGAATGTTGAGCACAATTTTGTGAAAGAATGTTATGGGGGCAGAGGTATCCAAGGCGCCAGTGTGAGAAGGGTGCTCAGGGTAATGACTGTGGACTGCACGAGGTGGGTTTGGGCAGGAGACTGGTGAGAGGTGTGGCAGGAGAGGAGAGCAGAGCCAGGTCACAGTGGCCTTATATGTTGTGGAAGAGAGTGGATTTCAGTCTGAAGGCAGTGGCGGCTGTCCAATTTCAGGTGCCTGGCTTCTGAGTGGACTGCTTGAGGTGGGAATGGGGAAGCAGGTAAGGGTGTGATGAGGGGAAGGACTTGAAATGTCGACTAAGATGCTTTCTAAACTGTGCCCCACCCCACCCACCTCATGTTCCTGACAACTAGAAACTCATTTGTGTCATTTTAGAACTCGAGAGAGGGCAAAGTCTTTCAATCCAGGTGTGTGTGGGGGCTTACATTTGACTATGGGTGACTGCAAACCTAAAATTGTAGTTGAATGAATCATATCTAAGTCTATTCTTCCCTGTTATGAATGCAGTCTAGAGGGCAGATTTCTGGGGATGGTATGGAATGACACAGCCACTGAGGACCCAGTTCTTTAAGGGTTTCACTGCCAGCCTCATCATGTGACTTGTGCCTCGTGGTCCAAGATAGCTGCCTACATTCCACCTTTCAAGTCCACATTCAATTCAGCAGGGTGGGGCAGGGGGAGGAATGTCCTGTCTCTTTCTTGAATGTCGTGCCTCTTTCTGAAAATTGTATTTACCACTTCTGCTTGCATGTCACTGGACAAGATTTAGTCCCATGGCCACACCTGTTGGCAAGGGAGGACAGGACACACAGTGTTTGCTCTCATCAGCTTTATGACCAGCTAAAAATCATGGTTTCTATTGCTCAGGAAAATGGGAAATGGGTACTGGGGACAACTGGTCATTTCTGTCATATTTCCCCTTGTGTAAAGAGTGTGGATAACCTGTCCCCTTCCTGTATTGGCTGGCAATGGCAGCCCACAGTGCAGTGTTGGAAGTAGTTTGAAGTTTCACAGTGAAAGGATGATGTGGTAGATTGGCAGTGTCTGAAAAACGTGAGGAAAGTGAGGTCGAATCAGAGATGCTGTTATTAGCTATCCTTCTGTGGTGGTTATCAACCCTCATGTGGGAGCTGGACACTGGTATCTTTTAGAAACCTTTAGTAATGGAAAATTTCAAACATATACAACAATAGAGAAAGGAGTACAATGAACTTTTGTTTGCACATTACCCAGCCCAATAGTTACCAACTCACATCCAATGTTGTTGCATTTATTCCCCTACAAACATTTCTCCACCCCTGAACTGTTATTGGTGAGTAATAGTCACATGATTTTATCTGTGAATATTTCAGTATATATCTCCAAAAGACAAGGATCCCCACTTTTAAACATAAACATAATTATCATCATCACACCATAAAATTCCAACAATCATTTCTTAGTATCATCAAGTGGCTAGTCAGTGTTCCCAGTTCCCTAGCATACTGATAGTGGTTTAAAGCTCAGTATATATATAGATGTATACATATCTATATATAGAGAGAGGGATGTATATTTATATCTGGCAGGTTAACATGACTGCCTTACTCAGTAAATGAATTTTTTTGTGTCTGAAGCAGCCTGGGCATCCCAAGGTAATGGGAGTTTTGACATAGGGAGAATCCCAGGCTGACTCAGGTGACTTACTCCTGCACTTCCCACTGCTTCCTCTCTGTGTAGTGCCATCTGTGTGAGAAGACCTTCCTGAGTGCCTCCTATCTCTCGAGCCACCTGCAACACAGGCATGAGGGCACAGCACAAGGCGGTGAGTCCAGGTGGTCCTCCTGGGTCTGTGGAAGGACCTTGACTGGAATACTGTGGGTGGCGGCACATACATCATCTAAACTTCCCTCAGAACCTCATCATACACTGGAGGATGGGATGATCCCACCATCCATCCTGGAGATCCTACTTGGGGCTGGGAGGGTTGCATCTGACCATGTGTGTAGAGCTAAAGAGCTGGGAGTCACACAGGTAGGTTCCAGTCTTAGTTTTGTCCCCTTCAGTTCTGTGACTATGGTCAATGCCTCCCCCCTGAGTCTCAGTGTGTTTCACTATGAATGGGGCAGTCAGACTGAGTGAAGTAGAAAGGTCCTTCCTTCCTCTCCTTCTGTGAACCTGCTGTTCTGTGATGCTAACTCTGAATGAGCTTACATGGGCTTAATGAGCAGTCAGGCCCCTTCTTTGACTTCATTATTACATAATCTGATCATGACATAATCACTTTGATTTTACTGTTGCAAATTCCAAAGTGAGTGACAAAGCTGTGTGTTTTACCCATGGAGATCTTTGCATACTATATAACTATTTTTTAAGGTCTAATAAGAAATAATTGTTAAGACATAAATATAGACTTGAAAATATAAATATAAATAAAAATATCCCATAATAAATCTGTTTCTTATTTTTCCCTCATCCTAATTTCCTTTTCAAAGAATAAACTTAGAGGTTTAAAATAGCACTATTGGCCTAGTCACTGTGCATTTGTTACTTATGTAACTCTTCTTGGTTCTGCATTGGAGGCTGCTAAAGAAAAACAGATTTTGCACTTCTTAATATGTTTCTGATAAAAATATTTCTTTAAGTAATATTTGTATGCCCATCTTTATGGAAGCATTATTTGCAGTATGTAAGATATGGAAGTAAGCCAAATGTCCCTTGAAAGATGAATGGATCAACAAAATGTGGTGTATATAAATATACAGTGAAATATTATTCAGCCTTAAAGAGAAAGGAGATTCTCACATACACTGCAACATGGATGAGCCTTGAGGAGATGCTAAGTGAAACAAGTCAGTGACAAAGGGACAAATACTGTAATGATTTTAGTTATATGAGGTACATATTGTCATCAAACTCATAGACTCAGAGTAGAATGGTGGTTGTCAGGGCCTGGTGGGAGGGGAATGAGAAATTACTGTTAAGTCATTATAGAGCCTCTTTTTTCAAGAGGAGAAAAGTTATGGGCGTGGATGGTGGGGATGGTTGCCCAATGTTATGAAAGTATTTAGTGCCGCCTACAAATGGTTTAGAATGGTCAGTTTTATGTTCCATGTATTTTACCACAATTAGGAAATCAAGTAAAATACCATAGATATAGAAAATTTAAATAGAGGAGGTAGAAGAGAGAAAATACAAATCATGGACAATATACCTGCAGTTAATATTTTCATGTACTGTCTCTTATTCTTTTTCTGCCTACATATGTAATTGCACAATATGCAGTATTGATTATTGTTTATTTTCAATCAAGTATATATTATGTATTCCAATGTAATTAAATGATCTTTGTAAACATGATTTTTAATGGCTGAATGGGATCTCATCAAATGGCTACCATAATTTCATTCACAATTGAATTATTTCCTAATTTATATGGGTTACTCCAAAATTTCTCTGTTATAAACCACATGATGATGAATATTCTTGTACATACATGTTTGTGCATATGCCTCCTCATCTCCTGAAGGAGATGGAAGGAGAGGGAAAATGCTGGAAGGAGAGGGAAAACATGTTCCTAAGGCAACTCTGCTATATTAATGTTCAGGACCTTTTCATTGGCTTCTCAGCTCTCCTATTCTACACTCACCTCAGGGCACCTATTAACCCAAATCAATTTATATTGCATCTAAAAAGTGCATGTTTCCAAAAAGTCCAATCTAAGAAACACCATCTCACTCTTCAAAGAAAGGCTTGGGGTTTTAATACCAGTGCCATCTATTGAATAATTACTAAATGCACTTTAAGAAGTAACAAATGTACACTTGGCGTCTTTTTCATTAACCCTGAACCCCCACTGTTTTATCAGAATGTGGTTTAGATAGAATGTTCTTTTATAATTCATTCTGTATCTCTTTTTAACTTAAAAAATTTCAGCACATACTTAAACCAACCTTGGCTAAAATGTTCACTCAAAGTGCATGGTGCCTTTCTTTCCCTTGAAATGTAAAAGTATTGGTTTAAATGCCATTGTTGATGAAAAAAGTGGACTTACAACTACACTTATTTCCATCACTTCACACTCCTCTCTGACTGCTGTCAGGACACATGGACATGTTCTTTCTATTCATAGTCAGTGTGTGTGTACTACTTCTGTGGCTGTTTCTGTAGTAACTTTGCACTCCCATTTCTCTGAGTGGGCACTGTCAAAGGAGTTCTGTTAAATGACAGTGACAGTCCACATTTATTGAGCATCATGACAGGCACTATGCTCAGTGCTTTGCACGATCATGTTTCATCCTCACAGCAACCCTACGAGTTAGGTGCTATTATTTTGTCCATCTTCCACTGGGGGAAAGTGGGGGTCAGAGAGGTAAAGTCATTTGCCCAAGGTCAATGTAGAAAGTAAGTGGCAAAGCTGGTCTGAGACCAGGGTGTGTGATTAGTGACATAGATGAGAGACTACACTCCACTGATTTTTCCTCCTAAACTGGTCATCCTCTGCTTGCATGGACTCCACAGAGAAACAGAAGCAGGAAGAGTCTATGGAGGAGGTGGTACGAGACCTGCAGCCCAGCTGACATCAACTCAAGAGGAGCTGACAGCCCTGTTGAAGAAGCAGAGGCAGCTGCAGGTGGGCGTGGAGAAGAGACAGCAGGAGACCCAGTCATGGACCACCTGGAGACCCGGGATGCACATGAATCCCACAGGGCCAAGTTCTGGTGGTTTCTCTGAGCTGGGAGTCAGAGCTAGGGTGGCACCTTCCCTAAGTGACAAATGATTTTAGGTCATCTGGGAAGGAAACTTGAATCATTTTGCCAGACCCCTCTGGCCAAAAGTAGAGCAGGGAGTGGAAGTTTCCTGCATTAGTTAGCACCTTGGAAGGTATTCAAGCTGAAGGTTAACTTCTTACTCTGTACTCTCAACTTTTTGAGGACAAAGCATGGGTGTTGTTGTGAAAGCTCCAGAATCCAGCCCAGAGGAAGTTCTCAGTAAATATTTGTAAGATGAAAATACCTAAATTGTCTTACTCATTCCTTCCTTTATTCATCCACCATTCAGTCTCTCAGCATGTATTCACTGAGCATCAACTGTGCCAGGCCCAGTCCATTCTGAGGACCTGAAAGACAGAAACAACACAATCTCTATCCTCAAAGGATTTGAAAGTTCAGATCAAACTGGGCCCACTCCAAGTGCAAACCATGGGAACTGTGGGACAAATGTTCTTTGGTCTCCATGGTGACTTGCATGACAAGGGGCCCTAGTATTTCCTCAGTAAATGTTTGCCATAATGAGGAATTAATGATTCTGTTGTTCTTGATGTTCTTTGTAGGAAGCAAAGACCACCTGTCAGAGGGAAAGAGACGCTAAAGCTATGTTTGAGGAGTGGAAAGAAGAGCTATCTGAGGAAATATACCAACAAAAAAAAGTATTTTGGGATGAGCTGAAAAGTTCTGTCCTCCCTGACTCTCCATTAGAAGAGGTACCTAGTGGAAAAGTCTTTTCAAATTTCCTTTGTTGAAAATGTGCTTCTCTGTTCTCAAAATTCATTTACTTGTTTTGTGCTAGTTTTATTTCCTCTGCCACTGTGGGGGCTCAGGTACTGTGAGGCCGGATTCTGGAGGCCAGTGCCTGGGACTGCATCTCTGCTCTATCCCACACTGGCTGTGTGACAGTAGGGAGTTACTGAACCTTCCCATGGCTTGATTTCTTTTCTGTAAGATGGGTTACTGAGAGTGTTAAATTAGCACAGAGCACTCAACATTATCTGGTATATCGCAAGAACTTCCTAGATATTATTCTTCCTTATGCAAAGAGCTTTCTGCACTGGATAAGAAATGACACAAAATTTAAACGAATGTATTTTTCTTTCAACACAAATTTGCTGAGTGCTGGCTGCATCACAGGGAGACTGAGGGGCCTGTGGAGGTCACACACAATAGCTAACGTTTATTGACTATATCTACTGATTTCCAGCTCCTGTGCAGAACACCTGATAGACTAAGTTTAACCGTCCTAACTATCACACAACATAACACTCTCAAAGTAGGACCTCATGAGCTTATTAATTTCCTTTTTCAAGTATTATTAACATTCTCCCTTTACAGGTCAAGACATGGAGGCCACATAGCTTGCTCAAGGTCACACAGCTATTAAGAGACAGAGTTGTGCTGGGGTTGGAAACTAGCTCTTTAAACCACAAAGTTCCTGCTTTTCTACTGGATATATCATCGAATTTATTCAGAAACACTTTATTAAATTTATCCCTGGACTGTATCTTAGCATGTAAACCTGTATGACTAACACTGTCACAGGAGATAAGTTTTAAGGAGAAATATCTTCAGAATGTATTTTGCCCCTATGGGTTCTCTTAACATCCAGAACAATCTGGTTTTTGAAAATGAACCCGTAGTGTTTCTCACACCTATTCCATGTTCCATGGTCAGGGATGATTTGGGGAAATAAGGTGCTGCTTCCCCAAATGGACCTCATGCTTCCAGCCCCAGCTCCTCAACCCTCACTGCTGAGCTCATCTAACACTTCCTGACTCCACATTTCCCTCACAAGGTGCTGGCTGACCAGGCATTTGAAACTAAGGCAGGATTTTGAATTTTGACTTTTTTAGAAACTACCTCATCACAGGTCAATTCTTATGTTCAGTTAGGAAATCCTGAGTTTTGGTAAATGAGAACATAATTTTATATTAGTGTACTTTTCTTTGAACTTGAATCATGTTCTCTTAAATTTTAATTTCACTGAAGTGTAAGAGCCAAAATGGATACCAAATTCTGTGTAGGTGGATAACCAGTTTGTTAATACATTTTTTAACTTCTGAGAAAAAACACCGGGTAAGATTCCATTTGGAGTGATTGTGACAAACACTGTAAGTCAGTCAATTTTCTGCTCTTCTGTGGGAACTTGCTTCTCCCGGGCCAGGCCTGAGCCCTCAGGAGAACACTGGAGAAGGAGAACCCAGACTGGTGTGGATGTTCACAGGTGTGCTGATATCCAATGAGGAGAGGTTGGAGTTTGTGGTTGGGGCAAGAGGTGCCCATTGACTCTGCTCCAGATGTAAAACAAAAAATCAAGGTTAGATTTTCATCTAAATAAAATCATACCCTGGCCTTTTCAGACACCAGGGGCCCCGCAGTCCTGTGACGAGATGTATTCCAGCCTCGGGTCTCTGCAGGATGAGGAGTGCGAGGAACTGCTCAGGCAGACACAGGAATTTGAGGACCTGAGATTTCTCAAGGAGACGAAAATTCAGGTGAGCAGATCCTCTGTGCCTTTCCTCCCAAAGCCAGTGAACAGCCCTGTGTCCTCTAATAAAGTTTCCATTTTCATTCTATGGTTTCAGGAAAGTTGAAAGACATCAAAATTTCCATATTTTCAGACCATCTGCCAATACAAGAAAGCACAGAATAGGGTTCTTGGGGTGCTTGGGTGAGAGTCGTGATATGTATGTGCACAACATGAGATCTTCCTGGGATCTTGTTCAAAATACACACAGCTGTGTCTCTTCTTGAACAACCTTGCACTCCTTCTGACTCCATCCCAGTTGAAAACAACTCTTAGATAGTGTATCTCTTTGTAAGAGTTGAAAAGAACTCTTATAAATCTGCTGGTTTTGAAAATATTTGGAATGGATATAGCGGTGTGGCGGTATTTCAGAACTGTCTCTATGAAACTAGAAAATCTTTGATTTGTAGAATTTGCAATTTTCTGTGTTGTAAATATTCCTACCATGGCCAATTTCATGCTACCAATGTAAAGTCAACAAATATGGGATTGGGCCCCAAGTGCTGTGACTCAGGAGGTTGGGTGCCACCCTGCCAAGTGAAAGGTTGCTGGTTCAATCCCAGGTCTGGGCACATGCCTGGGCTGTTGGTTTAGTCCCGGCTGGGGCACATCACAGAGGAAACCAATCAATGTTTCTCTCTTTGGTGTTTCTCTCCCTCTCTTCTTCTCTTCCCCTCTCTCTAAATAAATAAATAAAATCTTTTAAAAATAAATGAAAAATGCTTATGCATTTGGAAAGCCTTCAGTCTAATCTGCTCTCCTGAGTTAACTGGATGTGGCCCTGGCCACCACTGGATGAATCTATAATAGTCCAATTGTGTATGGTCTGTACCACTGGTAATTATTTCCATGTCATGGAAGGGCCATTGACAGTCAATAATCCTGCTGTGCTTCTCTTTCTGCTCTGCAAGCTTGTTAAGGAAGAGCTTCATGCCCAATAGTTAGCAGTAAAGTGATTCCACCACTTGATGTTTCACCAGTTTCCCACTGAAGAAAGCCATTCTTGTTTAAGAACTCTGTTTACATTCTTTGCGTATTTTTCTATCAATTTCCTACCCAATCTGTGAAATTGGACAATGCATTGAAAGTAGCCCATCCTTTTGCTGTTCTTTTCAAAAAACGTATTTTTTTAATATGCTATTACAGTTGTCCCAACTTTTCCGCCTTTTCCCCCTCTGCTCAACCTGGACCCACAGGTCCCTGCACCAGTTTCCCTCCCCACCAACCCCTGGTTAGTTCATGTCCATGGGTTGTGCATATAAGTTCTTTGGCTTGTCCATTTTCTATATTGTTCTGAACAGCCCCTGTCTACTTTGTTCCTGACAACTATGCTTCTTTTATTTATTTATTTATTTATTTAAAGGATTTATTTATTTATTTTTTAGAGAGGTAAGGGAGGGAGAAAGAGGGAGAGAGAGAAACATCAATGTGCGGTTGCTGGGGTCATGGCCTGCAACCCAGGCTTGACTGGGAACCGAACCTGCGACACTTTTCTTCGCAGCTCGCACTCAATCCACTGAGCTATGCCAGCCAGGGCTTATGCTTCTTTAAAAAAGAATGTCAATATACTATAACTTCAATTATAGTTTTAGGGGTGTTACACATGTTTCTTAGTAGCGTTTTTAAATTAAATCATTTTTTATTCTTATTCTAGTATAGTTGTCTCAATTTTTCTCATTTTGCCCTCCTCTGCCCATCCCATCCTCTGCTCCCACAATCAATTCCCACAGTGTTGTCCATGTCTGTGGGACATTCATACACGTCTTTGTCTGATCCCTTCCCTTTACACCATTATCCACCTCTCCTTCCCACTGGTCACTTTCAGTCTGTTCCATGTTCCCATGCCTGTGTTTCTGTTTTATTTGTTAGGTAATTTTGTTTATTACCTTCCTATTATAGCTGACATCATATGATATTTGTCTTTCAGCAACTGGGTTCTTAATCCCTGCACCCCTTCCTTCATTCTTCCCTTTAACCCTCCCACTTTATAACCCTCCAAATGATCTCCAGATCTATGATTCTCTTTATGTTCTGGTTGTTTGCTTAGTTTGTGTTTTTCAGAATCAGTGGTTGAGAGCTATGAATTTGCTTCCATTTTACAGTTCATAGTTTTGATCTTCTTCTTTTTCTTAAATAAGTCCCTTTAACATTTCAAGAAGTAATGGCTTGTTGATGATAAACTCCATTAGCTTTACCTTGTCTGAGAAGCACTCTATCTGCCCTTCAATTCTACATGATAGCTTCTCTGGATCCTTGCTTTTTATCACTTTGAATATTTCTTGCCAGTCCCTTCATGCCTACAGAGCTTCTTTTGAGAAATCAGCCTATAATCTCATGGGTACTCCTAGTAGGTAACTCTGCGCTTTTCTCTTGCTGCTTTTAAGGTTCTTTATCTTTAACCTTTTGCATTTGAATTATGATGTGTCTTGGTGTGGTCCTCCTTGGGTCCCAATTCTTTGGGACTTTCTGTGCTTCCTGGACTTGTATATCTATTTCCTTCACCAAACTAAGGAAGTCCTCTTTCATGTTTTCATGATTTTTTTCAAATAAGTTTTCAATTTCTTGCTCTTCCTGATCTCCTTCTGGCATCCATGTGAATCGGATGTTGGTATTTGAGAAGATGTCCCAGAGGGTCCTTATACTATCTTTGGTTTTCTAAATTATTTTTTCTTCCTGCTGTTCTGGTGAACACTTATTTCTTCTTTGTGTTCCAAATTGTTGATTTGAATCCCAGTTTCCTACCCTCTAACTGATGGTTCTCTATTTCACTTAGTGTAACCTTCATTTCTGCCTTTATGTTGTTGCCATACTCACTGAGCTCTTTGCACATCCTGATCACCAGTGTTTTGCCCTCTGCATCTGATAGGTTGTTTATCTGCCTTAAGTTTGGTTCTTTTCCCTAGATTTTCTTCTGTCCTTTCATTTGGGCCATATTTCTTTTCCCTCTCAATTTGGCATCCTCCCTATGTTTGTTTCTGTGGGTTAGGTAGACCTGCTGTGACACCCTTAGTACTATGGTCTGCTATTGAAAAAGCACTGATCAATTGTGTAGGGCAGAGCCTTAGGTAATATGCAGGGCAGGGCAGCCTGCATCACCACTTTCTGGCTCTGTATGAGGGGAGGGTGCAAAAAAAGTCATAAAAAGAATGAAATCTTTCCATTTGAGACAACATGGATGGACTTACAGGATATTATGCTAAGTGAAATGAGCAGAGAAAGAAAAATACCATATGATTTCATTTCCATGTGAAATCTAAAAAACAAAATAAATGACCAAACAAAACAGGAACAAACTCATAGATACAGAACAAAGTGATGGTTGCCAGATGGAAGGGTATTGGGAGGATTGGTGAAAAAGGTAGAGGGATTGAAAAGTACAAATTGTCATTTCTAAAAGCCGTCACAGGGAGGAACAGTACAGCACAGGAAGTACAGTCAAAAATATAGTAACACATATGTATGGTGTCAGATGGGTTCTAGACTTACTGAGGGGATGACTTTGTAAGGTGTGTAAGTGTGTAATCACTGTGTTGTATGGACACTAAAACTAATATAATAGTGTATGTCGACTGTAATTGAAAAATAAAAAGTAATTATTGATAGGTAATTAGTTACTATTGCTATTTTCTTGATTTCAGATATTTTTTGGAGTTACTTTGGGGAGTTACTTTGTTGTTTTCTTTTTGTCTTGCTGCCTTGTTTTTTGACTTGATGCTCCCCACTAAGGAGTGGTATGGTTTGATTCCTTTTTCCTTTTATCATTTCTGTACCTGCTATATGTGTTTTTCTGTAATTAGTATGAGGCTTCCATAAACATTTTATAGTTTCATCTGTCTGGTATAAGCTGATAACAACTTAAGTTCAACTGCATACAAACACTCTACCCTTTAACTTTTGTCCTCCCACCCCTCCTGGTGTCCACAAGTCAGCCAGTACACTCTGTGGCTGGTTGCTGAGATTTCTGTGTCAGAACAATACACCGATTTCAGCCATGCCAATGCCCTCTGGGCTGTGAGGGAGAAGTGGGCTTCCTGGGCAGCATCCCTCATGCCTAGAGCAGTGGTTGGATGCTTTTTCCCATGTGAGAAAGTGTGCAAGCTTGATGAGGTCCTTCTGAGCATTGAACTTTGCTGCCTTCAGTGAGGGTTGGTGCAGAAATGTGAAAGAGTTCTTCTCCTGTCAGTGCATCTATTCTCAGATTTTTAGCTCCATCAAGTTACTGAAAGCTTTCAGCTGGATTCCCAGGTTCCCGTAAAGGTCATCTCATGTGTCAGTGATTTGAGAGCTGAACCTCTTATCCCACCATCTTCTGGACAATCACTAGTGTTTTTAGGTTTGAATCTTTGAGCTACCTATACTTTATTTCAGTTAAAGATATGAAATAAGGATGGAAGTTCATATATTTTTAGGCCCTTAGCTACTTGTGTAAACAGTGTTAGTCAGCAGTCAACCCTCCCCCAGACTAACATTCCATGTTCTCTTCTATTTGTCTGAACTTCCTATTCTTTTTCCCAGTTCTGTCTTGGTAATGATGAGCCAGTACTTTTTAATGTTATAGTATTATAATATATACATTTAATAATAATTTATTGGTTCACTTTTAAAGAGAGGGGAAGGGAGGGAGAGAAGGAGAGAATCATCAATGTGTGGTAGCTTATTCTGCTCCCCCCTTGGGGATCTGGCCAAATCCCATGCATGTGCCCTGACTTGGAACTGAACTGGTGACCCTCTGGTTCACAGAGTGGCACTCAGTCCACTGGGTCATAACAGCCAGGGCAGTTTTCTAATATATTTTGATTGTGAAGGAGCTGTAATTTTTTTCAGTAAAGAGAACTGAAGAGGACAATTCATGAGCTGGAAAAAGAGCTGGCTGCTAACAACAAAGAGGTAGTTCAGACTAGGTGGTTCCCATGATCTCCTCCCAGCACACCTTCTCCCTGAAATCTTGAACTAGTTGGGAAGTATGTTGTTGCTGACATTGCTCCTGGCTGTTGACCCTCATCAACATGCCAAAGGGTCAGCTGCCCACAGTAGCTTCCCTGGCCAGGAAGAGGAGACTCCAGGCCACCTCTTCTGAACCACCACATCATTTACTCTGTGGTCCCCTGGGCAGTGACCCCAGGAGGCCCTTCAAGGAGGCTTTTGCCATAAACCTCTGGTGAGTTGCCTGGTCATGTTGAGTTCAGGCCCTCCTTTGAAATCCCACCCAGGAGAGAACCAGGTGGCTGTGGACCTCTGTAACAGTTCAGGGATAACGCCAATGGAAGGGCTCAGTTACCAGGACCAGAGAACAGAGAGCAGGAATCTTCAGGGAAGAGAAAGCAGCATCTATAAAAATGCCCCTGAGGAGGAGACAAGTTGAAGAGGAAGCCCATTAACAGCAGCCTCAGGTTCTGCCTGCAGAGAGCTCAGAGGGTCAAAGTGCATGAATCAGAGTGGGGCGCATAGTAGCCACCCCACTGCAGTAATCCCATCTGTTCAATGTCCTTCATGTCAAATACTTTAAAAAGGGAAGTACATTTACTTTTATGACTAGAGCAGGAGAAATATATTAAGGTACACTAAGTCTCCCCATCTTTACCTACCTGTCCCCTACACCCATGGTCCACAGGTGACCACTTCGTTGTTTTATTGCACACTCTTCTACAGATTCTTTCTGCAAATGTAAGGAAATAGTCTCCTGTTCTCTCTGCTCTTAACCAGAGGCAGAATGTTAGCACATTTTCTTCACCATTTGTTTTCATCTAAAAACATCCATTTGATGACTCTGAATGACCTCCACTTCCCTGACTGCCCTTCAGTGGGTGGTCACCACACAGAAAGCCCCTGTGCTGTAAACTTTACAGCCTGGGTTCAGTTCTCCATTCTTCTCAGGCACAGTTCGAGGATGTTTCCCAACTGGAAGGTAGTCAGTCTTGTCAGAAAGCCACCTGCCCAGGTCAGGCAACCCTCTACCCTGGTCCCAGTGAAACCCTGACCAGCATTTGCCTACAGGGGCCAGCCCCACAGACACGGGGTGCTCAGAGGTTCCTGTGATACTGACTGACTAACCACCCTGTGCCCCCCAGCTACAGGATGAGAATCAGGAGCTGCAGAAGGAAAATTGGATGCTGCGGAGGGAAAATAATAAGCTGCAGGAGGAAAAGGAGAAGATGGAAAAGGAGAATGAGAAACTACAGAAGGAAAAGGAGAAAATACAGATAGAGAATGAGAACCTGAAGAAAGAAAATGAGAAGCTCCAGAAGGTGAATGAGAGGCTACAGGAGGAGAGTGAGAAGCCACAGGAGAATGAGAAACTGAAGAAAGAAAATGAGAAGCTCCAGAAGGACACTGAGAAGCTGCAGAAGGAAATTGAGAGGCTGCATAACATGCTTAGTCAAGTACACGTACCAGGTTCCCAATCCCAGGACCACATGGTGTCCCTCAGCACCCAGATGCAACAAGAAGCCAGGCCCATTACCTCACAGGAGATGGTAGGTCTGTCCCTCCTCCCAGGCAGCCTGTGGTGCTCCTAGTCCTCTGCCCCATAAGGGCCTCTTTAGATTCTACTGGGCTTCCTGCTATTGTTCTCAGTATTCAGGTTTCTTTAAGGAGGGAGGAATCTTCAGGCTGGAGGGACACAAAGGGGTAAGGATGCATCCTGCCTTCCTCCAGGCTAAAGATGTGCCCCTTGTCCTCAGGAGCTATGGGCCCAGGGCTTCCCACTGATACCAGAGACCACATTCATACCTGGCTCCCACTGACACTTGGCTTGTTGCTCCATGTGAGCCTCACGCCTGCCCTTCAAGGTAGACTTACCTTCTCCTCATTGTCATTTGACCCATAGTGAAAGAGCCTGGAGAAGTCAAGTGCCTCACAGGAGTCCACACAGGACCCTCTGTACTGATGGTGGTCAGATTCAACCCCAGCAAGGCAGGGGGGCTGCAAAGTTTATGCTCTTCTCACTGGGTCCTCAGACCTAACTTCTTCACCAATAGCCTTCTGATAAACTAACAGCCTCTGAAGCTCTGGTCATATAAACTAATTTGATGAAAAGGTACCCCTCTCTTTCACTCAGCACCCCTCTCCTAGGCCTTGCCTCAAGACTTTTTGCCTATTGCCCATAATTCTCTGCCCAGGCAGGCTCACCTCCCTCACCTGAGCCCCAGGTCTGTAGAGAAGTGTATCTTTCCCCAGCTGAGCCCCTCCTGTGGCCTTAGGTCCTGGCCCTGGTTCTGACAACACCCTCCCCACAACTTCCTGGGGGCTGAGCTGCCACTCTCACTGTCTAGTCCACTCTTTCTGTACTTGCCCCCTTGCTGTGGATGCTTTTCTGATCTTCCAGCCACACTTCACTCAGTCACGTATACCCACTACTGTGGTGTTTTCTTCACTGTCACTCCCAGAACAGTAAGGTCTTCAGTGCTGTGGCTGCTCAGGTCTCAGTCTGGGGGTTTATTCCTTATGTTAACCAGAACTCTTCTTTGTAAATGTTTCAGTTAGCAACACATTGGCTAAACAGAAGAGAGCAGGGTGCTTTTTTTACATTGTAACACCAAATGAAATGAGTGTTTCTGTCCTTGTTTTAGCAGCACATTGATTGCATTGGAAATCCAGACTGTGTTTCTCTTTTTATCATCTTCTACATGTTTACCTTTTGTTCTTGGGCTTGCTCTCATAGTTGCAATATTGCTAGGATAGCCAGAACTATCACACCCATATTCTATGGAAGAAGTTGGTGAAAAGGCTTTTCTCCAAGAGTTCTGCTAATACTGTGTTGAAAACCGTTCTCTCTCATGCAGAGCTATAGCTGCAAGGGAGACTATGAATAATGAATGTGAATAATTTGAATGATTTGAAAATGAATAATTTGTTTTATAGTGTCTAGAATAGACAGAGGCAAAGGAGGAAATAGTTGGATGTATCATTAGCCAGTAGATAATAGAAAACAACTTAAGCAGAGGAGGGAATCTCTGATGAGGGTAGATACGGTTTCCCCCTGAACTCAATGTAGAAGAGCAGCTGAGTGTGGGAATAAGCTAGAACCAGGGACATGAAGATGGTCAGGAGTTTTCCTCTGCTGTGTGCCTTTTCTTTCCTGTGTGTCTGAATCAGTTTTTTTGTTGTTCTGAAGACCAGCTTCCCTTCCTTATCTGTTGCATGTGAAAAAACAAGGAAGTGAACAAACCAAAAGAAAACACCAAACCCAAACCTGTTAGTTGCCATCAGATCTTGGCTTTCCACATTACCAGTCTATGATTCTCTCCCCAGTCCTGCACAGTCAGCTTTGGCTGTGGTGTGTGGTCATGCTGTCACATGCATCCCCTCTATGCACATGGAAGGGTAGCTGAAAGCAGGTCTGGCACCCTGTTGCTATGAAAGCTAATACTCACAAGGCAGGTGCTGATGTACAGTCCATTCTGGAAAGGTAAGTGATGGTCTGGTGTACATCATGTTAATTAATCATCTTGGCTTCACTTCATCCTGGCCTCATGGCATCCTGGCTCCATGGTTGAATGTCAGCAAACCTGGAGCTGGGATGTTTGAGGGTCAGATCTGTATCTTCTGATACTAGTTCCTAGGATTTTTACATGCACATGTTGTTTATGTAGAAGCTGCAGATTAGCCAGAATGAGCACTTACAGAAACTATGTCAAAAGAATTTGGGCCCTGGCTGGTATAGCTCAGTGAATTGAGTGGGGGCCTGCAAACCAAAGGGTTGCCAGTTTGATTCCCAGTCAGGGCACATGCCTGGGTTGCAGGCCAGGTCTCCAGTTGGGGGCACATGAGGAGAAACCACACATACATATTTCTCTCCCTCTCTTTCTCCTTCCCTTCCCCTCTCTCTAAAAAACAAATAAATGAAAACTTCTTTAAAAAAAGAATTTGGGGTGGGTTACAATATCCCAGCATTACAATTTCCACTGAGAAAGAGGAAGAATAAGAAGCACTTTCAGGAAAAAAGGTTTGAGCAGATGGTTTAGTGAGTCTCCACAACACTCCCCCTAGCTCCTATGGGGCATTATCTCAGATGCCCTCATTGCATGGGAAGGGCCTACCTAGTCCTGTGTGTTTTCTACCCAGTGTACCACCAGTACTGACTGTCCCTCTCTGCTTCCACGGGGTCCTGACCTTCCAACCACAGTCCCTGTCTGAAGAGGAAGCATTCTTACCTCCCCACCAGGGACAAAATAAGCACAGTGCCATGCTGGTTGCTGCCATTCAAACATGATGCCATCCGCCTCACATATGGACACCATGAGATGTGTTGGTGTTTGGGCTGGTGAACTGTGAGCATCTTCCAGTTTCTAATAGGTGCTATGGAAATAGAGGCTGCCCTTTTTCATGGTGCTAGACAAAATCACTGCTGAGAGCAGAGTTCCCTGCTGGATGTAACATGCTGTGTTCTAACCTTTGCAGACCCAGACCTCACTGCCCAGGAAGGTGAAGGGTAAGTCTGCATGGGGTGGTTTGTCACAATCTCGGCTGCTGTCATGCCTTTTCCTGTTTCCTGTCCCTCACCAGTCAGTCTCTAGGATGAGGCTGAGGGCATGTGGAGCCAGGCTCTTCAGCTGGGCAAAGGACAGAGGGAAGACCTTAGTTTTGGGACAGATAGGGCACGAGTTGGCATTTGTGCTGAAGGGGTACTTTGCAGTGGCTGGGTTTCTTGCCTGGCCTTCTCTTCTCTGTAGGAAGATGGACACATGGAGAGGGTAAGATTCCTGGGGGCAGTGTTTGATGGGCAGGGTCCAAGAACCAGCTTCTTCTAATTCACCTTGCTTCTGGTTTAGGCCATCGACCTTGACCTTGTTCTTGGTGTATTGCAAGTTCATCCCAGATCTATGTGAATGTAACCTGTTTGGAGTATTATTCTCCTCTCTTGGGTACACTGGTGTGCTGGTATGTGTGCCTGTGAGTGTGTGAGTGTGTAATGCAGTGTAGGTGCTGGCATCTAAAGGCAGGAAGTAACCTACAAGGCACTGTTCTCTCTTGGAGACGTTGGCCTTCCCTTATGGAACTGGCCCCTTGTACTGCATCCACCCAGCCTCCCCTCTTTAAACCTGTAGCTAACCTTCTGCCTTTTCTTGCAAACCCACAAGTCTCCTCCAATGCCCTGCCTTCAGGCCAGACATTTCCTTCTCTCTTTGCAATCAGCTCAGAAGGGCACTATTCTTGTGGCCCTGATCTTCCCAGTGGTGGGGTTCAGATGAGCACCATGTGCTTCCTCAGCAATTCAGATCCATATTCATTGTCTCATTACCCTGTCCCCATGGTTGAATGTGGGGTGAGCATGGATATCTTCATTTTCTAGAAGAGGAGACTGAGGCTTAAAGGGCTTCAAAAATTGGCCAAGTCCTGCCCAGCCAGTGAGGGGCAGGGCTGGACTATGAACTCTGCACCTTTTGCCTCCAGTGTGTGTGGTTGTGACCAGCGGGCCTGCCTGCCCTCTCTGGTACAGAAATGACCAGTGGCCTTACTTCTCCTGACTGGCTCTCACTTGCTGCCCCACACTTTTCTCAGCTCGGGATGGGGTCCAATGCCTTGGAGTCACTACGTGTTCCTTCTCCTCAGGGAGCACTAAGGACCCAAAGGCTGTGAACATGGACAAGGACTCTTCCAAAGAAGGTGGGACCCCATTTTCTTCCCTGGTGACCAAGGCTGACACAGATTTGCTGCCCACTTCATTGTTTCCATTATCTCTTCTTCCGTGTATCTGGCCTCCTGACCCTGAAGTGATGGGAACTAGAGGCATGAATGCCAGGGCTACACAGTGAGAAGGGGGTCCCCTGACTCCCAGACTGCAGGGCTCCCCTGCAAACTGTGGATTCAGTAAGGCTGGGGTGGCATGTGAGAATCTGCATTTCTCAGAAGTTAGCAGCTGGGGCCCATGCTGTGGCTCATACTTTGAAAACCACTGCTCTGGAACCATTGGTTCTCAGGCCTGGCTGTCTCTTAGAAGATCTGGGGAGCTTTAAAAGGAAATATGAGCCCTGGCTGGTATAGCTCAGTGGATTGAGTACAGGCTCTGAACCAAAGGGTTGCCAGTTCGATTCCCAGTCAGGGCACATATCTGAGTTGCCAGACAGGTCCCCTAGTGTGGGCCATGTGAGAGGCAACCACACATTGGTGCTTAAAAAATAAATAAATAAATATAAATAAATATGAAGGACAGGAGACCACCCTCAGATATTCTGATGGATCTAGTTTTGGATGGGGCCCACCTAGTTCAGACAAACACTCAGGTTTAGTTACCACCTACAAGTGTGACTGCTTGAGGTTTCTCTTGTGTTGCCACAGCACCCAGCTCTGGCCTGTTCACACTCATGTGACTTGTCAGTAAATGTCCCCTGAGTGAATCTAAGGGCTGGTCCAGTTCTAACTGCAGTGGCCCCTACACTGTACCAAAAGAGCACTTGGGGAAGCTCCCCAGACTCAGTGTGGATGGCCACTTCATAGCAGTTGCCACATTTCATTGTAATTGCTAGTTTTGTTACCCTCTGGGTGGGTATTTCTTAACCTGTGGTCTATGGCTCACCTCCACCACAATCATCTGGGCAACATAAAATGCAGATTCCAGAGCCCTTCCCCAGATTGATGGAATCAGCATCTCTGGAGGGGTCATGGGGCAGGGAATGCATGTGCCTTTGAACCTCTTTGGATTTGGATGTTCACTATATCCAAATAGGAGGGAGGGGATCTGACCTAGACAATAAATGTGAAGAGAGCAGAAACCTGTCTATCCTGTATACCATGCTATCCCCATAAAGGGATGAAATTTGATGCAGTGATGGGGTTAGGGTATAAGGAGGGGCCAGTTGTGGCTGTAGCTGGCAGCTGATAGGGCCTGGAATCTGGGATCCAAATGGGGTCAGGGAAAGAGCTGCTGCCAGGACTGAAGGGTGAGGTAAAAGCTTGCCGCCCTGAGTTGTCCTGGGAGCAGGACTGAGCCCAGATCTTAGAGGTTCAGACTGGAAGAAAATGCGAGTCCTGAATGTGGGTAAGGGGTCTGGGCAGAGGTGCCCAGGAACAGAAACACCCCAGCTTCTGACCCAGAATGGACACGTGGACTGGGTCACTGGCCCTGAGCCAACAACCAGGACCAGGTGGGCACAGTGGGGTTTTGGAGATGGAGGTTTCAGGTACCCGAGGCTGACCTTGGTGATTGTCTGGTGTTACAGAGTCTGAGGATTCCCAAGATGAACAGCAGAAGGTGCCTGGAGGCTCAGGGGCAGAGCATCAGCTTACTAAAGATGTTTGGGCAAACCCCAGAGAATGATCTGCAAGAGAGTCAGGGAAGCACAAGAAGAAAGAGAGTAAGTGCTAAGGCCAGTGTTTCCACACAGGGAGTTATTAAACTGATGAAGGTGCCGTGGTTCTTCACATTGTAGGCTTCTTCATCTTATTTGTTCCAATGGGGGCACCTTTGGTGTCTAAGAATGGAAAGCCACGCAGCTTCTCCTCTCACATCCTGATGGCAGTGGGGTGTCTCTCCTCTGTTTCTCCCAATGGTTGCTTCAGATGCCCCCCTGTGTGCTGACCTGTCTGGGCTGCCTGCTCATTGGTTGCTTTCTACCAGGTCTCTCCTTCTGACTGAGGGAATTTAATTGGCTTAGTCTGGCCTCTGCATGGGTCCCTTGGGTTAAGTGTCCATCACCAGTGCACATGTAGCCACACACCTTGAACAGGTGGCTGTGGGTGGGCCAGGCACTGAAAGCCATGTCTAGTATAGACTAGGACTTGAATGCTGATGGTTGCTTATGCTCCTTTTTAATCAGAGCATGCATATTATCATTAAAGGCATCAATGAACTCTCCTAATATTGTTAAATAAAAACCCCTATTATTAACAAAGATGGACATGATGTCATTGAAAACAATATCTCTGTAGGCTCAGATTAGAAGAAAGATGGGCACCTAGGTTAGATCTGTAATGATGCTCTCACGTTTGACTGTTTCCAAATCCTGCTCAATCTAACTTTGTCCCTATGTTCAGACCTGATTAAAACATTTCTTTTGTGAAACTAGAAGAGATTCGTCAAAGAATGCACATGCATATACACATAGCTCATGGACAGAGACAACAATGAGGTGAAGGCCAGAAAAGGCTGGGGGTGGGTGAGGTGGGTCACGGTGGGGGCTGGGAGAGAATGGGGTACATATGTAATCATGTCAACTATAAAAAAGTTGTCCTTAAAAAGAATAAAAATAAAATATTTCTTTCTAACCTTGAAAGAATCTTCATCTTGGATTGAGATGTCTCTGAAGAACTTCCCATGGGCTCTGGGTAGATGTCAAAGTCCAAGCAACTTTCAGGAGGTCTTAGAAGGCTACCTGGCATTTGTTTTTAGAAGTAGTCTTTTCAAACATTGGTAGCCACTAATATTGTTGTGTCTGGTATAAGGATAGTGCCTGACGTACAAAGAGGAGGAAGCCATGGACTCCCATCAAGGACTCAGTCAGGTGGTGGAAAGGCATGCGCTAAGCTTCATACACTGTGATGACCGTGGGATTCTGAGCATCCCGTTTGTACCATCTTGCTCTGCATGTTTTGCTGAGACTCCCAGACCCTAAAGCAGCACCCTTTCTACAGCGCATGAAGCTGCTGCTCGCCCTGCTCTGCCGCTCTTGTCTTGCTTGCCCAGACAGTGCCTGGTACTGGTCCCAGGAGATCCTGTGTCAGCAGCAGGTTTAGAATCTTAGGGGAATAAGAAGGAGGGGCACCCTGTCTCCAAAGGGGACCTGTTGTCTCTTCTAGGATGCAAAGGAAGTCCCCAGGAGGACTTTCAGACACTTCCTGAAGGTCAGGGGGGAGAAGAAGGAGGGGAGGTTTTCTGAGTGGTGCAGCAAGGCTTCAGGTAAGCTGCTGAGAGGGCTTGCTTGGGGGCTCTGACCTGGGAGGGTCCTGGTTTGTTTGCCTATGTGGTGGGTGGTTCTAAAGGGTGACACAATGGTAGGGTTTTCACAGGTGACTGAGGATGAAAGCCCTCTGTTGGCCAAACAGTCTGGGGTGGGATGGGCAGGGGTGGACAGCAAGGTAGGTACCTCAGGGAAGCATAGGACAGCCAGTTTTCCAGCAGGTGGCCTGGCCAAATGCTCCTGCTAGGATTTTCTCTTTGCTTGGCAGCTTAGTTCTGCTTTGCTTCACCTGCTTTGACCACAAGTTGAACTTTGCTCCCACAGAGAGAGCAGCTCGTTGGTTTTCAGGCTCTCGAAAGAGGGCCAGGCAGCGCTGATAGAAGGCCCATAGCCTGGGAGCTGCGGCTGCAGGCAGAGGTAAGTATCAGTGAACACACTGTTCTGAAGCAGCCAGAGGGCAAAAGGCTGGGCCAGTCTTTCCTATGGAAAAACCCTTCTGTGGAGCCTAAACTTTTCCCTGTCTGGTCACTGCTGCTGCTTTGACCAGGGGAGTCATGTCAAGGGAAGGCAGGTGGTTCTTGTGGAGGGTTAAAGGACATGGTCAAGGAACCTCCAATGTCTGGCCTTAATTATCTTTGGGAACAAGGGAAGTTGTATTTCTGGGTTTGGGAGCCTCCCCAGTTCAGGAGGATTCCCAATGACACAATGGTAGGGTGTCACAGCTATCATGGGAGGTTTGGAGTGGGATGGAGGGGCTTCAGTGGGTGTGTGTCCCGCCATGCAGGGTGATAGCCCAGCTCCTTTCACCACTATTCCTCAGCCATGCACGTATGTGGCCAGGGGGAGGTCACTGCTGTTGTCTCTGTGTCCAGGCAGGCCTAAACTGAGCCCTTCATGCAAAGGAGTTTTCCAGACTATGGCTCATGTATCATAGAAATGGGAAAGATAATTTTGTTTGGTACATGGATGAATGATTTTAAAATTTCATCCTTTTTTTTGTTCATGTGCATTAGAAAAATATTACTAACACCCATCCACTAACTCATGAAAATTCTTTCTTGGACAAGTATAAAGTGGGTATTTTATATTTAAGTGTAGTTTCACTTTATACAAAATGTTAAATAGACAACAGAACACTTGGAATGAGAATGTGCTAACTTGTGTCCATAATATGGAAAGTCTGTCCAGTTTAAACTTCTGGTCTTAAAGTGTGTAAGGAAAGGACAGTTCTTAGTCCCACACAGAAATCACAAGGGTATTTGTCCTGCTTGCTAACTTGCCTTTCCAACTTCCATTTGAGTTCCTAGGCCTCTGTCTCAGATGTTCATTCATTACACACTCATTTCGCACATGATTTGTTCAGGCTGATCTGCACCAGGTCCTGCCATCTTCGTTGGGACACAGGACTCAGTGATGTGATGGAGCCAAGGTCAGGGAGGTGGGAGCACAGAGGAGAGAGGGAACAGGCAGTTAGGAAAGATGAATGGAAGCCCCCTCTGAGTCCCCATCCCATTGTTCTCAGTTTGTCATATCTGCTAAGACCCTTTTCCAGAGCTAACAGGTTTCAGGACTCAAGACATGATATCCCTTTGCATGGCCATTATTCAGCCTAGCTCAGTACTGATGTCTAAATCAGGGAGACTGTGGCCCACCCTGCTTCATTCCCCTGGGGCTTTCCTGGGTGGAGGGCACACTTGCCCCTGGGCGCTCTCATTTGGGGACATTTTTTAGATTAAGGGGCAGGAATGAGTGTAAGACTCTGTGTTTGTGGGGGAGGAGAGCGAGGGGAATTAATCAGTTTCACTCTTTCCCCATGTGACTTTAGATCCCAGGCTTCCTGCCTTTTCTTCTGAAGAGCCCAGAAGTCTCAAAGCTGGACCTGTGAGGAGGAGGTGCTCACCAGACCGAGATTTCACTGCAGTTGCCAGCACAGGGTTCCTAACAAATGGCCACTAATGTGTCCCTGGGCTGGGGCAGGGTGGACCACTTTCAGGGGTAGGGGTGGGGTGCCACCTAGGGCAGGCACATTGTGGAGAGCAAGGCCAATGAACTGGCCTTGGTCCCACCAGTCTACCCTGCTGCCCCCCTGGCTCCAGAAAGCGGCCTTCCAACATGCTGATCACTTCCTTGCCACCATGCTGCCTCCTGGACCTGTAGATGAGACTAGGGCTTGGGATTATTATTTCCAATGATTCCTTTTTGTTATATTTCCCTTAGATAGATAAGAGTTTGAATATGATGTTAATATATATTTCTGTTTTACTTTGAGTGAATAGCATAGTTATTGTGTGTGACTCTTGTCTATTCCTTGATGCCTGGATGCTCAGCTGACTCACAGGGAAGACTAGATCAGGAACAGAAGCTCCTGACACATGTGGTTGCTGGGTCCCTGTGGTCTCAGTGCCCGCCCACTAGAGGGCACTCCAGGACTGTACAGAAGCAGGTAGCCTGCTGCCTTAGTGCTCCACTCAACTAAGGTCACCCAAACTGGTTGCTCCTTGGGAAAAGAAATCTCTACTCAAATTGTGGTGGGAGATCCTACACACTACATTCATTTCTCACAAACTAATCGTGCACATGAGGAGATTAAAGGCTCTGAACAAAACACTTTAATTTGATTCAAACCAGCATTTTCCAAGCCTATTTGAGCATAGACCCTCTTTCAGGATGATGTAAACATTTTCTTGGAACTAATGTTCATGAAATACAGTTTGGGTTTCTCTAGCCTGTGCCTCAACTTTGCTATGTTGGGTGTTAGGGACAAGGTGGGCCTTGGGACACAGCTTTTAAGTGTCTGCCCTATCCAGTCCTGCTGGGCACTACATCACTGCCTTTGGGGGAGGCGCTGGGTGTGGAATGTGCTGACCCAGAGAGGCCACCTCAGAACAGCTGGGGGCCAGCTCTTTGGGGTGACCCAATGTGTCATCAGCTGCTGGTGAGCACCAGGTGTGCTGCACTGATTTGGCAAGTGTAGCCCCTCAGAATGCCCAGGGGTGTGTCCTGTGGGGGACAAACAGGGTGAGTAGCCAGAAACCTAATGCCCTGTCTGGTGCTCACCCTGGGGGCAGCTCTTGGGTTTTAGGCCAATATCAGTCCAATGCCCACATTCAGGCCAGCTTCTATGTCTCTGGGTCAGTTCCCTAACCATCACCACTTCACTAACTAATCAACACAGTTTCTACCAAAACCGTTTTGTTTAAATGAGTAGCTATCTAGAGCCAGATTGCCTGGGTTCAAAGTCAACTTCCACCTGTCTGACTTTGGACAAATTACTGAATTTCTTGATCCTTTTAGTTTTCCACTTGAAAAATGGGAATAATCATAATACCATTCTTTGATAATTCATGCAGATTATAAAAAACTGAGGACAGTTTTAATAAATTTCAGCTATTATTATTTATGAGGTGTTCAGCAATTATATATAATATGATGATGTGAAAATCTCTTGTGAAGATTTCTGCAAAGTTTTAGTTAACCTGTTTCATTTGCCTTTTTATTTTTATTTATTTTTAATATTTTTTGTTTTTTTTAATGTTGTTCAAATACAGTTGTCTCCATTTCCCGCTCTCCCCTACTGCTCAACCCTAGCCATCCCAACCCATTACCCTGGATCCTACCCCACTTTGGCTTTGTCCATGTGTCCTTTATACATGTTCTAGACAACCCTTCCCCCTTTCTCCCCCATTATGCCCTCCCACCTCCCCTCTGGTGTCTGTCAGTTTGTACTTAATTTCAGTGTCTCTGATTATATTTTGCTTGCTTGTTTGTTTGTTTTGTTGATTAGGTTTCACTTATAGGTGAGATCATATAGTATTTGACTTTCACTGCCGGGCTTATTTCACTTAGTATGATGCTCTCCAGAGCCATCCAAGCTGTCACGAAGTGTAGGAACTCCTTCTTTTTTTCTGCTGCACAGTATTCCATCCTGTAAATGTACCACTGTTTTTTGATCCACTCATTTACTGATGGGCTCTTAGGGTGTTTCCTCATACTCAGCTATTGTAAATTGTGCTGCTGTGAACATTGGGATACATAGGTTCTTTTCCATTGGTGTTTCAGGATTCTCAGGGCATAGTCCCAGCAGTGGAATTGCTGGGTCAAAAGGCAGTTCCATTTTTAGTTTTTTTGAGGAAATTCCATAGTGTTTTCCACAGTGCTTGCACCAGTCTGCATTCCCTCCTACAGTGTACTAGGGTTCCCTTTTCTCCACAACCTTCCCAGCACTTCTTTTTTTGTTGCTTTGTTTATGATGGCCATTCTGATCAGTGTGAAGTAGTGTGTCATTGAGGTTTTAACTTGCATCTCTGATGGCTATTGATGCTGAGCATCTTTTTACATGTCTCTGGGCTCTCTGTATGCCCTTCATGGAGAAGTGTCTGTTCAGGTCCTTTGCCCATTTTTTCACTGGCTTGTTGTCTTCCTGGAATGGAGAAGTGTGAGTTCTTTTTTTTTTCTTTTGAGTCTTTATGGTGCTTTATTCAGATGGTTAGCAATGAGAGCAGACAGGTTTACACCCTAACAAAACTGTCTTACATTTTCTTTCCAAGCCAGCATTTCTATAACAGGGAATAAACTAGGTATGGTGATGGGTTTTGAAATTCAGGGAAAATCAGGTGGAAGAAAACTGCAGCATTAACCTCCTGGGCAGTTACCTGTTCCCAGAGGCAGGTGGTTGTCTGTCTCTCCCTGGCAGGTGGTTGTCCATCCCTCATTTGGTGGTTGCCTGAATGCCTCCACTTGTTCCCCAGGTGGTGATCTCTAGCCTTACCCTAGGAGGTCAGCTGTCTCTCCCAGGAGCCAGGATGGCCTTTGTATGTAGTTTCTGAAACTAAAGCTTTAACATATGCTTTACCTATGAGAAGTATTAACTATTTACCTTAAGATAAAATTTTCCAATTCTTAAGTTATCATTCCCCACCTTTAGTATTAAACTATCTTATTTCTATGAGATCAGCTTCCTATGGAAGTATTTCTTTTTTTTTGTTGAGCATGTAAGCAATACAGCAAACCTGTGGGGGAGAAGTCTTTAATACAGTGAAGGCCATTCATTACAGCTAATGTGTCACTTAAATGTTCTACATATTTCTTTACTTTCACTTCTTCATCTATATACATATCACCACCCCAATCATAGCCTGAAATAGTCACCTGTACACAATTTCATAAAGACTCAAGTGAATCCCACTTCAATGAGCCACTCTTATCCTGAGCAGGGTAATAGGCAAAGCTTGATGTCAATGGGAATGAGTTTCTTGACACAGCTTGGCTGTGTTTTTCTTCAAGGTGTGATTCATCTTCTCTACCTTCCCAGAAGCCTGGGGTCTGCATGCCGTTTGTAGTCTCCACTTGCTTCCTAAAAGTTTGCTAACCTTCTGTGTAATTTCTGAAAAACAAAAGCAGGTCAATTATCACTCTGGATGCTGCCAGGAAGGCCAATGTCAGGGATGATTTCCTTCAGTAAGGCTTTCACTACTTCAAGGATTTCTCCATTCTGGTACGATAGACTTCTACCCATCCTGAAAAATGTGTCAACAAACACTAACAAATATTCCCACTCTCAGACACTTGGCATGTGAGTAAAGTCTACTTGCCAGTCCTCAAGTGGGCACTGTCCTTGGTATTGTGGGGATCTGTCCTGGGGTTGTTCTTCTGGCACACAACACATGTAGCAATTACTTTTTCTGTGGCTCTAGGAATTCCAGGACCTGTTAGCCCCAGTTTAACATAGGTAGTCAATGAGTCCCTTCCATAGTGTATGGCCTCATGCAAATGCTTCATGACTGGCACTACTAGATTTTCAGGAATGCAGTACAACTCCTTTCTTATTGTATTTTCCATTTACTCTCAGGACCTTCTTCATCAAAATTCCAACCTCTCATCTTTCTCTAAGTCTGCAGTGGAATATTCAGGGTCAAATTGTGACAAGTGCAGAACAGGTACAAGTCATTATAAACATTTCTTTAGCAGCCTCTTCTGCTGCCCGGTCAGCCAGATTGTTTCCTCTAGCAACTTCAGTGTCCTCTTTCTGATGCCCAGGCCATGCATAGCTATAACCTGTAAAGGTACCTGAATGGCCTCTAAACATTTTGAGATTTCTGCTGCATGGTTATTCTCCTTTTTCTTTGGAGGCAAACAGTTCTTTTTCCCTCCAGATGGAACCATGTGATTGCAAAATTAAGAAAGCTTCCCTGGAGTCGATATACAGTCATGCTCTTTTTGCACAACAGTTCCAGTGCCCTCATCAATGCAATCAGTTCAGCTTTCTGAGCAGAGGTTCCTGGCAGCAAGGCCTTGGCCTCCACTGCTCCTTCAAGAGCCACAACTGTATACTCAGCCTCTTGGTTTCCTTCATCCATAGAACTTCTTCCATCTCCATTGAAAGTCCAGTCTGCTTTCTGTAGAGGACTGTCCTGTAAATCAATTCTGCTAGAATACTCTTCATCAGTTATTTCAGCACAGTCATGTATTAGCATAGACAAGTCAGGCTCCAGGGAAAAGAGAGGCAGGATTTAACTAACTTACAGTTTTGAGGGAGCCATTGAGATTGTGAAAAAGAATGGCTTGGTACCTGCCCCTACTTCCAGCACTGAGCCAAATTTCTCCCTTTTACTCCAGCAGGCTCAGCACTTGCTGGGGTGCAAAACTGGCACAGGCTGTCCCAAAGAAAACTTTTGAGCCTCCTGTAAGAGTTCACAGGTGGCTTCCACATCTTTCAGGCAGGCTGGCCACCCCTGGACAGTGTGATCTAGTTTCCTTGACAAGTATGTGATGGGCTGTGAAATGTCAATAAGTGTTTGGGTGAGGAATCCTAGGGCAACACCCTGTCTCTCATGTGCTTACAACTGAAAGAATATCAGTAAGTTCAGAAGCCCCAAGGCTGCTGCAGAAGCCAGGTGCTCCTTCAGGGACACGAAAACCTGAGTGCACTGCCCTGTCCAGAATAAAGGGCTATATTTCAGTCCCTTCTGAGCTTCATATGCTGGTTTAGCTGTGAGCACAAAGTTTGGAATCCAAATGCGGCAGTTGCTTGCCATCCCCAGGAATCTCCTTAACTGTTTCCTGGTATTGGGAGAGGTCCTTGTTGCACTGCCTACACTGTATTCAGATGTTTCTGCTTAGGGATACCTTTCCCCATTCCCTGAAGGGGGCATCTCTTATAATGGTCTGAGAGAGGAAGGCCATTCCCCTAGGGTCCCAGTTGGGCTCA